CTTACTCGACCTATCCACACAAGTGCTGCTAGATAAGAAGTGCCATCTGTCTCCACTCTGAGGAAAAGTATTACCTACACAATAATTACTTTTGTAATGCTGATGCTTGTAATTTTCTTTCTTTCTTTTTTTTTTTTGGAACTACCTACATATTTAGCCAAAGACCATTGTTGACAATGTTTTCAGATTTGATTGATTGCCAGAGATGGATAAGCAAATTTACAATCTACAAAAATATTCATCATCAAATTTCACCAAATATTCAAAACATGATGCACCCATAGAAATTGTTTAATGTCTTAGCCGTCTTTTCATAGTACAAAAAGTGCAAAATTTACTTTTTGTAAAAATGTAAGATATATTATTAATTAAAAAATAATTACAAAATAACATCATACAACAGTTTATGAAAATCCTATTATCTTAACCCTTTGACATGCGCAATATTATTTTTATAATTTTTTAACTAAAAACTAGAAATTGAATACAGAGTTGCCAACTCTCCCGATTTTCGTCGGCTCTCCCGCCAACCCGATTTACAATATATTTCTTCCGAATTTTTCTTATTCTTAAAATTTCTCACATTTTTTTATGGAACTTGGCTTAATAAACTTTGTTATATGAACAAAAAAAAAAAAAAAAAAAAAAAAAAAAAAAAAAAAAAAAAAGATTTTGGACATCTGAAAGCAATTGAATTTTTTCTAGATTATATCTAAAACAAAACCTTGCGAATCAGATAACTTCTGCTTTGTGAGTGAGAGCACATACGTATCCAGAAACATTGTTCTCCAATGGGTATCAAGCTCCAGTGCATGTCATCTGGCATATATTAACCAATAAAGACAAAGCAAGCTGTTATTTGGATGCTCTTTAGTTATTTCGTTCATTTTGTCCCGAGTTGTGTGAATATACGTGCCTTCGGGAAATAGTTTTAGAAATTATCATCTTTTGTTATGTCTGCGAGAAAGGTGAAATACTCGTGTACGTTTCAAAAATCGCACACAGTTGACTTTCCTTCCATTATTTCCTCAAGGAAATGTAATAAATTTGCGATGTGTACCGCCTGTCATTGCAATTTTTTGATTTCGCACAGTGGAAGGGCGGATGTTCTCAAACATGTGCGTACACTAAAACACAAGGACAACAGGAGTTGTTTTGAAAAAAAATGGAAAATTAAATTTTTCTTCGGAAACAGAGGACCAAAAAGTTATTAATGCAGAATGTCTGTCCTCTGCCTTTTTACTGGAACACAACCTGCCACTGAAAGCATCGGATCACACTGCAGCTTTATTTATAAAAATGTTTCCCAATAGTAAAATCACTAAGAAATACTCAAGTGCAAGAACCAAAACAGGTGCAATTGTTAAAGAAATGCGTTTGAAAAACAAATCTTCAGTTATTGCTTGCATTAAAACAGCTCCGTTCTGCCTCTCTATGGATGGAAGCAATAATACCGATTCAAAACTGTATCCAATTGTTAATCCTTTTTTTAATCCAGAGTCTTCAGAAACTGAGTGCAGTTTATTTTCTGTCCCCACTTTAGAAAGACACTTGACAGGCTTTAATATAGCACAGCTAATTATTAAAACTTTAAAAGAAAACACAGTCCCTCTGGATAACTGCTTAGCAGTTGGTGCCGATAATGCACCAGTATTGGTAGACTTGAAGACTGGTATTGCAGGCATCTTAAGAAAGGAAAATTCAGATTTATAGATTATGAGGTGCACCTGTCACCTCTTACATTTAGCAGCTGAAAAAGGGGCAGCTTTATTACCAATAAATGTGGATGAACACATTGTTGATATTTATTATTATCTTAAAAGAAGTTCTAAAAGGAAGGAAAAATTGAAACAGTTCCAACAGCTGCATAACAGCAGTTTACAATTAGAAAACTTGGATGAAGCTATAAAATCAGCTAGGATTGACACCTAGTGGAGTTTAATTGGAAAACTGAAAGGTGCTGATGGAATTTTAAAATATAGTGAACTGTCTAGAATTATGTTGGCCATCTTGACAGTTCCCCATAGTAATGCAGAGTGTGAGAGAATATTCAGTGTTGTTGCGAAAATGAGGACTAAATTTAGATCTAATATTAGCGATGACACATTAAAAAAACTTTTATTAGCGAAAGCAGGCCTACATGGCAATTGCTATGAACAAAATTATGAAGTTTCTTAAAGAAAGCAAAATCTGCCAGTGTTTATAACATTTGTACGAAAACTGATTAAAGTGTCTTTTTTTAAATCAGTTTTTTAAGTGTATTTTTTTTGTTGTTGTTTTGTTTTCTTAAACGATGCAAAAGTTAAAGTTATTTTTGTGTTGCTTGCATTTAAGAATTAGTTACTATTTAAAGTTAATTCATTATTAAAAGCTATATTTTTATCATTTAAAAAGTCTTTTTAACATTGTGAAAAATCTCGTGATTTTTGAGTGTCAAAGGTTGTCAAGTATGTGAATATTATGATCCTAGAGACAAATAATATATGAATTTAAAAAAATCTACTCTTGCCCGTTGTTCTGTGGGTGGTGGTCACACTGTGAAACCACCGCACGTCTAGGACTTTGAAACTTACTGATGTAGTAGGAAAAAAAAACTTACAATTTCCCACGCGCGTTTCCAGTAAATGATGAAATTTACGGATTTAAAAGAAATGCATGCAAGAATTCAATTATATATAATTTTTTTACATTATTTTACAAAGTAAATCATCAGAAAAAATTTAAAAATAAACATTTATGTAATTTTTCTATAGCAGTGAAAATATAAGTACCTACATAATAAGGAAATTTGGATGAATGGATTAAAAGACTCAATAAAATAAAGATAAAAAAGAACTCTTTTTTTTTTTTTTTCCCCCTCAAAGAACAAATTTTTTTTTTATGACACTGTTCAAAGCATGTTTTGTCTCTTTGGTACATGCATAGACCCACATTGCATGTTTCGCACATACACCTTGTTCTATGAGGTTTCTTCCTTGTGCTACAAAATGTACACTGCCTGGATTTAAACTTCACTGGTATATGTCCAGCGTTATTTGGTTTCTTTTCATCTGGCACATGAAATTTGTGGTTTTTTATGTTAATGGGGGCGGCTTGGTCTTTTTGGCTTTGTACGGATCATTCGTTTCCCATTCATACTTATTTTATTCATAGTTTGTCCCAAAATATTCAGAAAATACTTTTAATTAAAATAAAACTTTTACACAATTTCTATTTTTAATTAAAGCAAAGTATATTTACATTAAATTTAAACCACAGGAAATAATTTATAAAATCACACTACTAGCGTGGGGAGCAAGTGTGTTGATGTCAGAGAAAAGTATTTGGAAAAGAAAGACCTTTTTACTGGGCAGGTGCATGTATTGTTTAGTAATAAAATAACTGTGTGATTTCAAAGCCCTTTATCTATATCCGGGTAAAAATAAACATTTCTGTTTGAAAATCAAGCGAACGCCATTGAAAAGCAAACACCAGTGGTTTCAAGGTGCGACCACTGAGCCTCTAGAGGATTGTAAGCATTGTGACACAATGCTCTAGTGGCGCAGTGGTCGCGCCCTGAAACTGCATAGCAAATGCCATATATAGAGAGGATTTTTTTCATATATGCAGTTTAATTACTGCAATTTTTTATTGTTTATGATAGAAATCATGATGTGCGATGACTTTTAAAATTCAAAATTGTTTATATTAATATATAAACAATTAAATTGTTATATAAATATAACAAAATTGTTTATATAATAAGGAAGTTATTTTGTCTCATCGAAAACGAATTTTAAAAGGCATCCGATCTGAATTATTAATACCTAAAACATATATGATTCTACAGTCATTTTGTGTTATTTAGATGTAAAAGATCAGTAATCAGTTAATTTTCACTCAAAAATTTCGGGAAAAAGAGGAGGAAAAAATTCGGAAAATGTCAAAGGGTTAAGTAGGAATCATGTCTAGCAAAAAATGTCACAGAAGGTATGTCTGACACTATGACATTTAATGCCATGGAAATGAAGAGCAGTAGCTTAATTTTAACTAAAAAAATGGTGGAATGCGTTCATTCCCTCCATTAGAGGCTAATAATAATCCTAATATGATCTTAGTTTGTAGTTTTGTAACCTCGATCTTCAGTAATTAGGGCTAGGTTTTGTAAGGAAGTTACAAAGTAACTGCTCTTTCTATTTATCTCTTGCATTTTGAAAAAAATGATTAAAATTTAAAACCTGCTTTCTGCAAAACAGCAAAGAGTTTCAAAGTTGCAAAACTGGTTATATTAATGACCATATATAAAACATTAAAAGAAATCCGAGTTCATCAAAATGACTCTATCAAAATGGTAGAATAAAAGACATTGCAGAGCAGCATGATACCACATAGATTCCTATTTAAGTGAATTTATGTGGTAATGAGTTCATGAAGTAGGAGCCAGTTCTGTTGTTATATATTCCATTAGGGTTGCTTGACTGCTGGAGTATTGGCGTTAGTTGCAACGAATTTGTCGGATAATCTCAAAGCCTGAGCTCATACTAATTCAGAAGTCAAACAACAAAAATCAGTGTTATATTTTCAAATTTTCACAGGACTAGTTTCGATGATTTTACCGAACCACCATCCTCAGCTGCAAAAGTGCAAATGAATGAGATAGGATATAATGAGCTTATAGTTAGTTATTATAAGTCATTTTCAAGATTTGTGTTTGATTATCTAAATTCAGTATAGTGATCTGGTATTATCAAATTAAATAGACAATATTTTGTTCCTTCATTTATCCAACAAAATCATTGGTGCATTTTTGATGGGAACACTATCAGCTTTCATGGTTGAAGGGAAATGCATAAATGCCAGAGTTAAGAATTCATAAAACCTTTAAATTTACCTATGTATCAGAACATAGTATGTAAGCATGAAAAATATGTATTGTAGTATTTTGGGAGCCATTTTAATATTTGCGTATATAGTCTTATATTGTATGATACTAAACATGACTCTTTCAAATTTATTTATAGCTAGAACGTATTGGGCCTCAGCACCAAGCTGGCAGTGATAGTTTATTGACTGGAATAGCATTTTTTAAAATGAGAGAGGTAATCTCAGACTTTTTTTATTTTTTTGGTCATGTGTTCCATATTAAATAAAAGTAGGGTAAATCTGGATTTAAATAGGAATTAAGAGTATTTTTGCAATGGTTTTAGTGATTTACACAATATTTACAATTGTTTAAAAAATAAATATGGAATTTATAGAATTTATGCACAGTTTTGGACAAGTGAATGTTGCTTTTTAAATAGCTGATATAATATAATAATATAAAACATAATAATACCAATGAAATATTTCCTGCAGTTCCTTTTTTGTGTATGCTAAAATTAAGAAACTATTATATTTTCTTTTATTATGCTATTGAGTTATGCTTTTGCAACATAGCAATGTCTGAAATCCAAAAATATGCACATGAGTATTGGTAAGTCTTGAAACTGTTTTATTCAGAATAACGTGACTGTGGGCCCTGTAATATATGTATATATATATATATATATATATATATTGTGAAATCATTGCCTTTATACAAATAATTTTTTGCCCTTTTTTTATTATTAATAGTGTTAGCAATAATTTTTCTGGAGATATTAAAATTGTGATTAATTAATTTCATTGTTTTGAAATCGAAAAGTCTTCTTTTAGGAAATAAATTAAGATTGTTGAGATTAAGAATTTGTAGGTCGAGATAATCTGTATGTGGGTTTGTTAGTTTTAGATATCTTGTTTTTAGTTTCATTGTAATTATTAATGTCGGTGATGTCAATAATGTACCTGTAGGTAAATTAAAGAAGTTCTGATTTAAGGTAATTGTTAATAAAATTATATTTCATAATAAAGAGGAACAGGTTACAGATTGAAGGTAAATAGTTTGTTCCCATAGGAATACCGTTAATTTGTAGAAAAATTTCATTTTGATATTTAATAAAACTGTGAACAAGTATACAATTAAGATAAGATTGAAATTAATTCAGTTTTTAATGCTAAGAAATAGGTGGTAGATCTCAATATAACTATTGTAAATTTAAGTGGCAAAGTGATATAAAAGTTCTCAAAATCGTAGCATTTAATATTGTAAAGTTGTTGTCTAGTAATAGATTTAATAACTTTCATTTAATTGCTGATAATTCAGTTGTTATGTATTCTAATATTAATTTTCTTCTGAAACTCAATGCAAACTTTTTGAGGATTTTGGTGCCATTAATGTCAATCGCCTTTTTTGTAATTACTTACTTCATTAGCAATGAATCTGAGTATAATTGGATTTTTATGGAATTTTAAAAGTGTATACAAACTGGAGAATTTATTATAGTGTGATATACCAGTAATTTTAGGGGTTTTTTGTGTGAAATGCTTTAAATCTGTTAATAAGTAAGTTTTCTTGACTTTTAGAGATCTGGCTAGTAATCTTGTTATTAATTTCATTGCTAATAATATTTTGATAGAACTTGTTTCATGAATTTGTTAAGTTGTTGGTTTTTAATAATATAGTACAAAGTCCAAAATCCAGATGTCCATTATCCGGAATGATCTAAAATCCGGACCTCAAAGCCACAAACATCATTTTTTCCCTTTTAATTAATGCTTTATGCATGCACATTTGATTTTTCCTTCCACGATAAAACATGTGGAGATTTTCACTTAAAAATTCCGATTCTTAATTTTACTTAGGCACTAAATAAAATACCTCATTATGGAAAAACAATCATGTAAGCATAAATTTGTGAGATTAATAATTTGGCTCCTTAGCTGAGTATCTGCTTGGCATACATCTCAAACCAAAACATTCACTTATTTTATATCTCCGATGCCAACCTAGTGAGTTATTATTTATTATATTTTGCTTTCATCACAGCATGTTTATCAATACATTACAGCTTCAGTAATAACTCATGCTGTGATGTCTAAACTATTTTTATATTAGTAATTGAATAACAAGAGTATGGCAACTTTTTATGCTAACATTATGCTTGGCGATGACTATAGATTTTTAAATGCTCTAAGAAATGTTGACGAGGAAAAATTCAACAAAAATTTATTTTCATATGCTAAAAATAAATTTTTTTAATGAAACTCCATAGGCCAAAAGATTACATTTAGTGCTATTTTTAATTAAGAATAACTGATATGTTATTCACCATAAACCTAGAAGCGGCGGCAGAATATGTTGGCACCAGACAGCAGCATTTAGGGAAGACGAAATTTTTGGAATTTGGGGAAGCACCGAGTGGCAAAATTAAGGGATGAGAAGTTTTTATGATTTAGTAAAAACACTTTGATCCAAAGTTTAGGCATGGTGAAAATTTAGAACTTAGGAAAGCGCTTTGTAGCAGAATGTAGGACCCGTAGAGACTGCAACCAGCAGTATTGAGCGCTGGCCCTAGATAAAGCGTTACGTATATGTGGGAGTTTATTTATTCAGGACTCGGATTAGTTTGAAGTATGTGCAAGAAATAAACGTAGGCATAGTAAGTAACTAAACTAATACAATTCTGGCTTAATTCAGAACGCAATAGGAGCAAGACAAAATTTAGCGAATCAACTTGGCTTTCGTTGCCAATCTTGTGATAGACAGCCAATAATGTATAACGAAAGCTATTAATCTAGGCTAAAATTATGTTTACTAATTCTAAGGCATTTCAATTAATGTAGCAAACTGCGCTGCTCCTTGATCTTCTAATTAGATCCAGCTTATTATTTTTTGCAGACTGTTATTATTACGGCACTTTTATAAAAACTAAGCTTGAACTTTCGATTATGTCGAAAAGAGTTTCCAACTCTGGAGTTGCCAAAGGATCTACAAAGCAAAACCATGTTTCAATGTCCATTAAACAAAAAGTGGAATTGCTGGTAAAATGGATAAAGGCATATCCGTCTCAAAATTATGCGAGGAGTATGGCATTGGAAAGTCCGCTGTATATGTCACAAAAGAAAAAAGGAACTTTTTGAATTTTTTGTGGAAGCATCTTAAACAACTTACGTTGAAAGAAATGTTTAATAAGGTAAACAAATAAATATTAAGCTTTTTTTGTAAATTTTGATACGCTTTAGATCATAATTGTTCTTTATTTCATAAATTACGATTTCATATTTTTAATTGTATAATTTCCGCATGCCATCTTGCCAGATTTAAATTGATGATCTATTATCCAGAAAAATCCCAAATCCAGAATCGCTGAAGTCCCGACCAATCCGGATTTCGGACTTTGTACTGCAGGAAGATCTTCAGTAATAATGTTCTTGTGAGCCTGGTTAATGTATTTCTCAAAGCTTGATTCATAGCAGAAGCAAGGTGGGTCAGTAAATGGTTCTTTGTCATGGTTGGTAATACTATTTAATTTTTTGCTGTATTTGAGGCAATTTTGGCGTTTGAGTTTTTAAATGTGAATTTTTTGAGTAATATATTAAATTCAATAAAATCAAAATTAGGATTCATAAAATCAATTTTACAATAGTTAATATTATTAGTTTTGTTTTTGTATTTTATGAGATTTTTACCCTGGTTAGTGCAAATTTTATAGTACAGAGGAGTTGCTGTTTAAAAAATTATCAGTTACTAATAGCTCTTTGTTTTCTAACATGAAGATAATTTTTTATAATTTCTGTAACTAAGTTATTGCTATTGAATTTATTAGTATTTTTTCTGAATAAGTCAGAAAATGATGCAAAAGTTTTTCACTTTTTCATTCCCATGGCAATCTCTGTTGGTTTTAATTCCGAAAAGTTGTAAATTTTCATAATTGCTGGTAAGTTTATGCTGTAAAGGAAAGTTAGGGTTTCATTCATATGGATAAATTTTTTTGAATTTCAGCATTTAATATTTTTCTTGATTAAGTTTTGCTTTAGTATTGGGAATAATTTCCAAGCTTTCAGTTTTCATATTATTAAAATTATACTGTTTAAAATACTCCATGTCAGCAGTGTAGTATGCATTTTCTTTATTAATTTTATTTGTGTTATAATTTTTAATTAAGGATCTGTGGTTATTGATTATGAGAATGAGAAAAGTTTTGCTTTGTCTAATGTATTCTTCATCACAGCTATTGCAAGTGATGACATAATACAGTTAAATGTTTTTTAAAAGGTTTGTTCAGAATTTGCTGATAAATTGGGTGTTGTAGCATTGCTAGCTAATACAGATCAATCAGTTGGTATTTTTATGGTTGAAAATATTAACATCTTTGAAGCAAGCCATGAATGGAAACAGTATTCCAGGGGCTGGCTGAATACTGGGTAAAGTAATGAAACTATGCCTAATCAACAGTGAAAAGCCAAAAAATACAAAAATAACATGAAAAATACATAATTACCAAATGAAAAACACTAATACAGAAAGTCATAAAAATTCCACATGAGTATGTAGATGTCTTAAAAATGGAACTGTAAAATAAAATTAAATTTTTTGGCAAAGTGCAGTAGGAGCAGCAGGCCTTCTAATACAAAAATGAATAAATACAATGTAAAAAGCAGTTCAAAATCTAATCCGATTGCATGCTGCAAGCAGCAACAAGTATTGGTAATAATGCGAAGTAAAATAAAAAATATGTGTTTATATGTATAAAAAATATGTATGTAATAGGATGACTTGGAGAGAGCTGCAATGGATTGCTGATGGTTCTTTGCATTATAATAACTTGGAGAGACCTTTACTGCATAGTTAGTAAGATGACACTCACAGACAGACATAGCTGTAAATTTCACACAATTTAATTCCTCAATAATTAATTCTGAGAAGACATAGCCTTTTTCATTTCACATCGTTATTGTAGGTGCGTTATGCACCCCACAATTTTATACAGATTATATTTTTAGACAATGGACAATAGCTGGCAGAGGCGAGTGAACTAGCACCTTAATGAGAAGAGAGCTGAAGCAAAAGTGTGCAGTCATCCAACATAGAAGCTCACAAAGGGAAGGTTTCAGTTTAAGTTGCTTATTAAGTGAAATTTTATGTTTTTGAAATTTTAAGTTCAAATTCTGAATTAGTATCTGGATTATGCAAGTTATGTAAGATAGATTGATCTAGAAGTGATGTAGTCCAGAAAAGGACATTACTATTTTTAGAATAGAAAGGGGGAATTAAGAAGCTATTCCTAGTTTAAATTATAATTTTGATTTACAAATTTTTATCTTACACACACATTTACACATGTATGCAATAATGTTATAGAAACATTGATAGTATAACTATTGATTCATAATGAAAAGCAAACTTGACATCAGAGGCAGATTAAGTATTAATGGTTATTTCAACTGACATTTGTGGCCATTATTCTTTTGGCACTCTAATCACGCTTATTTCAAAACATTTACGTTTTTTTATATTGTTGGAATAGGAAGCAAACAGCATAGCAAAGTTTTAATGGCAAGAGAAGTAGAAGCAAAGTGCCTGTAGTTATCCAATATGACAGCTTATTAAAAGAAAGGTTCTGTTTCAAGTTCCGAATTAGGTACGTCATCATCGTTATGCAAAAGTCATATAATATATAAAGTAGTTATTATTTTTAGAAAAGAGAGTGGAAGTACCCAAATTAAAATTAGGAATTAAGGGGCTATTGCTAATTAAATTATAGTTTGATTTATATATTTTATCATAACATATTCCTTTCCTTCAATGAGAAAAAAGCTGGGTGACTATTTTTTTAAGAGATTAAGTGCCAAAGTGTTACCTTATGAAAAGAAACATTACTTGTAAAATACAATCAAAAGTTGCAAAATATACACTTTTGTAATATTTTAGTCTTACTAAAATTTTCAGTCGAAAAGTCTTTTTGTTTTAGAATCCACATGTTATTTGTTCAGGGAAGACTTCAAAACTTTTCATAGAGTATCGCAATTATAAAAATTTTATATGTGCATTATAATCACAACAAACTTCAAACTTTAACATTAATTTCCATATTTAAAAAGTACTTTCTAACTTCATAAATATAACAGTAATATTGTTGAAGTTATGGTTTCACTGTTATTATCACTCTTCTAATTTTCTTGTTTTAGACAAACTGGAAGGTCCCCACAGCTTTCTTCTTTATCCATCTATTTGGGCATATGCACTTTAACTGATGTATTAATTTTAATGAGCGATTAAGGAACACTTTGCAGTTATTTGAAAAGGCCTCCATTCCTTATATAAGGTAACTGGCCTTTGTGAATTACATTAAAACATTCCATTATATATATATATATATATATATATAATATATATATATATATCACAACCACATTCAATATTTAAAAAACAACAATAAAAATACTTCTGTATAAAAGATTGCATGTTTTCATGGGAGCCTTCAAAGTTTATATTGTATGAGAATGGTAAAAGGATCATTTGTGCAGAGGTAAAAACCTTCCTTTGTTTTTTAACCAGAACTTCCTCAACATACTGTATATAAAATTACATACTTATACAATTATTAATTAATTATAGCATTCCTTCTCCATAATTTCAAATTAATTTCATAAATTCTTAGTATTTCTAAATTCTTTATAGCAATACTGAATACTTAACACTGCATATTTTGTATATTACATTCAAAACACAATTTTTGTCATTTTCTATACCCAAAGTTAGTTGATTCATTTTTTATATTTTACATCGTTTCAGTAGGTGAATAAAAATATGTAAAGATAACCAATTATCTCAAATTTATTTGTTCAGGTTTCCCAAATACTTAGCTTCCTGCATTATCCATATAGACAATACATCCCCAAAATCATCCATTGCCAGATTTGCACATGTTCCAAAATATGCAGAGGAAATCTTATACAAGCTAAGTATTAGCCTGGTTAACAAAACTGGAGGTGTAGGGAAAATTTGCTACAGAGGCACCTCCTTCTAATTTTTACCATAGTACTTATTATTAGTAATAATTATATCTCAAGCAAAGTATATTTCCTATAAAGTATTTTGTAAATAATCTTATAATTCAACATTTAAATATTCATTCAAAATTGAAAAGATTTTAATAAAGTTAAAATTTTCCAGTACCTCTGCAACAGTTTGTTTTTATTTTAGATTTATTACATTAGTTTATGCAGCATGTCACTTCAGTTTATCTCTGTTGAGGTAAAGTGGGTAGAACAAGTTACTGTCTTTAAACACATGCCATAATGATGATGGCTGAACCAGTTAGTGTAATGCATTACTGAATGATATCACTAGAAGAGTAAAGTGGAGTTGAATATTTTATTCCTGTGTCTAATTTTATCTACTAAAGGCCTAGAATTGGAAAAACAATTACATAAAATTTTACATACAAAGGGGGATTTTGAGGCTTCCAATAAAAGTGGCGACCATGCACAGGTGCTGCATTTGTTTCTGTGCCAATCAGCCCCTGCCAGATATTCAGATGCTGGCCATAAGAGTGATAGTTGCAGTTTTCTTTCCCTGGATTTGTAATAAAGAAAAGTATGTGGAGTAATCTCGGTTCTATCTGAACTAGAAGAGTAGAAAAAATGTACATCGTTTGGAAAGTTACAAGTTTTCATATGCAGAGATTTAAAGAGTATTACAAATTCTTGGCTTAAACATTCTGCATCTCTACTATAGTAACATTTGTAATATCTGTATCTACTAATATTATTTTTAGTGGCAAGTTCGCCTGCAATAATATTGCGTTCCCAGCCATACCATTTCCAACAAACTTCCAATTACAGTTTTTAATATGATAAAATAAAATGCCATATTGTGTTATATTTCCCTTAGTATTAATTACTATAGTTGTAATAAATAGTTTTTTTCCCATGCAGATGTTCTTTGAAGACAACATTGATGATGATAAATATTGTGGCCATCTTTATGGTCTAGGTAATTGTTTCATTCAAGGCAACTTGCAAGATGATGCTTTACCAGTCTCCTCTCCTTAACTAGTCAAAAGATCTTCTGTAATCCCTTGTAATGATGATTACATATTAGTAGATAATTGTTGTCAAAGCTAGTCATATTTTGAAGAGAAAATATTTAAACTTATTTGTCTTAAATAGAAGTTTTTCATTATACTGTTGATTTAATTTTTGTTTGTTAGAATATAACATTCCAAATAAAAATATAGGTAGTTAATGTTTCAACAGTTGAAGTTTTTCCATGTTTTGTTTACTTCTGTAGCTTCCACACTTAAAATCAAATGGGCGAATTATTATCTTTAAAATTATGATTAATATTAGTTAGCTAGTTTCACATTTTAATGACCAGAAGTCCAAAACACTTGCCATACCTAAGAATAACTTTTCATCCATTTTGTGTATTTCATATATTCTTTTAACTTTCAACAATGTAGCATTTTACAAAAACACTGTCATAGCAATTTTCTTCTTTACTGATGATAACAGTGAGTAAAATATTATTGAAACATCAAGCTTACTGTGCTCAACATAATGAGCTGCAAGTGTTTACCCATAATTTGGCCTATTTGGAACCATTAAATTTGAGGTATATTTTTGAGTTAGAACTGTAGTCTTCAAATTGTAATCTCCAGAACCTCGGGTTTCAGTGCAGTTTCTTGTAAGGATTCCACAAGTGAAAATCAATGTCAAAAAAAATTATTGAGTGCCAAGACACAAACTACAGAAGTAAATAAGTGTGGAAGCTACAGAAGTAAACAAAATATGGAAAAACTTCAAATGTGGAAACATTTTAACTACCTAATTTTTTATTTAGATGATAGAGGCTATGAATTCTTTGTCTATGCAAGATGAAATGATTATCAGATAAATCAGTTTTAATGGAAACTTTCAGCATTTTATCTGCTTTATGACTTATATTCTGTAATTGCTAAAAAACCCCTAAGAACACAACAATTCTAATCATAAATATAAGCACAATAAATTATCAGTCATCTTATGCGTGTAAAATTATGGATCCATATGACATAATAATTAATTTTTTAAATTTGTATTGTCATTGTACCTAAAATACTATGAAGTAGACTGTTTAAATGAAATAAAGTATAAGGAATGGTTTCATTCTCTTTCTGTATAATGTATAACATATGACAATTTTTTATGTTTCAATATTCTGATGAAGGCGATAGGTTCACAAATGTATTATGCAAATTTAAGGGTTTTTAATTTAGACAAAGTTTGAAGACCACCATGTTACAACTGTTTTTTTATTCACTACTTTTGAGGGTATTTTAAAGACGTTCCTGTAGGACTTGTAGAACTATTTTTTAACCAGTCCAATTATGTGAAGGTTACTGGAAATGCTAATTTTAATATGTATTTGAAACATTTGACTTGACTATTTGGTTACGCATTAATATCATCCGGATCATAGAAGAATCAGTAACCTTACTCTAAGTGAAACATTATTTTATTGACTAAAAGAATTTGTGAATAATATGTGACCCACAACTGATGTAATGAAATTTCAGTTTGGGTTTTGTGAATGCTGTGAAAGAATAATGAAATGAGGTGCTACTGTTCTTTAAGAATAAGGAAGATTGTAAATCTTTGTTTTTATCATAAGTACAAAGCTTAAAAATATTTCCGCCAGACCTTCAAAATCATTTTAAATGCTTTCTAATATCATTTAGCACATTGTAAACATTAATTTGAGTTTAGAATATTTAGACCAAGATCTAGAATTGAAATAAAAACATATTTATTACTTCGAAAATGATTAAAAATCATATTGCCCAATTTAAAATTTATAATGTACTAGAAATTTTGAATTTTGGAAGTCATAGTATAATGTCAGATATTTAAGTAGTATTGAGTAGATGTAAATTTAGAGCTATGACATTTTTAATGACGACTTTTAAAATCTTAGGAACTGCCGATTACAGAAATTCATTCAATGTAATTTTAATAGCATATTTCAAATTTTTAGTTAGTGCCAAAAAGTCTGATTTAAAAATAAAAGTCTGCTTCTTGTTAGTTCTTTGATATGAAATTTGTGTATTTGTCCTACAGACTAGATCCATAATTTTACAACGAATAGATAACTGATAATTATTGTGATTAATTATGACTAGAATTGTTGTGTTGCTGAGGAGTTTTTTAGTGAATATAAGAATACTAAGTCATAAAGAAGATAAATGTGTGAAATGTTTCATTAAGAACTGATTCTATATGATTCTTACAGCTTGCATAGTTACTAACGAATTAATAGATATATCATTCTAATAAAAAAAGGTAGTGAAAAGTTTCCCATTTGAAGTTTTTCCATATTTTGTTTACTTCTGTAGCTTCCACACTTATAATCAAATGGGCTAATTATTATCTTTAAAATTATGATTAATATTAGTTAGCTAGTTTTACATTTTAATGACCAGAAGTCCAAAACTTTGGTATTCCATACCTGAGAATAACTTTTCATCCATTTAGTGGATTTCATATATGTTAAGTATTTCATATGTTCTGTCAACTTTCAACAACATAGCATTTTACAAAAACACTGTCATAGCAATTTTCTTCTTTATTGATGATAACAGTGAGTAAAATATTATCGAAGCATCAAGCTTACTGTTCTCAAGATAATGAGCTGCAATTGTTTCCCCATGATTTGTCCTATTTGGAGCTATTAGTTTTGAGGTATATTTTTGAGTTAGAACTGTAGTCTTTAAACTGTATTCTCCAGTACCTCGGGGTTCATTGTGAGGATTCCACAAGTGAAAATCTTGTGAAAATGTCCAAAAGAATTATTGAGTGCCACGTGGACTACAAACTAACTATCTGTATAATTAATTAATTTTTTTAATTTGTATTCTTATGATTACCTAAAATAATATGAAGTAGATCTGTTTTTGTGAATAAAGTTATAATGAAATGGTTTTCATTTCTTTTTCTGTATAATGTATATACAACATTGACCTATTTTCTATGTTTTCAATATTTCTGATGAAGGTATAGGTGTTTCACAAAATGTATTATGCAAATTTAAGGGTTTTTAATTTAGACAAAGTTTGAAGACCACCATGTTACAACTGATTTTTTATTCACTACTTTTGAGGGTATTTTAAAGACGTTCCTGTAGGACTCGTAGAACTATTTTTTAACCGCTCCAATTATGAAGGTTACTGGAAATGGTAATTTTAATATGTATTTGAAACATTTGACTTGATTATTTGGTTACACATTCATATTATCTGGATCATTTATATAGAAAATCCTATTAATTTCAAAGAATCGGTGACCTCACTTTAACACGTTGAGCGCCACGTCAGCCATCTGTGGCTAACACTAGATTATCTGTTTAGGCTGCATGAGCCATCTGTGGCTGACACTAGATTTTCTGTTTAAGCCGCGTGAGCCATCTGTGGCTGACAGTAGATTTTCCATTTAGGCCGTCTCAGCTATTCTTGGCTGACACTAGCCGCGTCAGCCATCTATGGCTGCACTAAACTTTCCGTTTAGGTCGCATCAGTCATTTGTGGCTGACACTAGATCTTTTCGTTTAGGCCGCGTCGACTGCCGCTAGCTGACAGCATGTAACATGATATATAACTATAAAACTTGCACTGTTTTATGAAATTACACAAAATTTATTTAAAATTTACTTAATTTTGATTCATGATTTGATTTTGATTCATTGAATTTAATTGAAACACGGTAAACATAAAAACAGTTCTCCATTACAGCTATTACAAAATGTGACAACACTCTTTTAGTCTTTCTACTAGCTTCTGTTGCATTTTTATCATATCATAACTTACAATATTTTCATACTTTGGTTTTCTTCAGAGTTTATGTTGTCGTTTCCTAGATATTCTTGCAGTTTGTTCGATGGAATGTCTTTTTTTTCCACAACTTGTTGCTATCTTCTACCGTGATGAATCACTGGCCCTACAATACCAGCACTTTTAAGCGAAGCACGTGGCCTGAACGGGATTGCCTAAAACATACGTGTGGCACTCAACGTGTTAAGATATTAAAATGAATAATATTTTTCAGAGTATTCTCATAATTTTAAACTTTTGCAGTGTTATTTAAATGAAGCATTATTTTATTGACTGAAAGAATTTGTGAATAATATGTGACCCACAACCATTTGATGTAATTAAATTTCAGATTGGGTTTTTTGAATGCTGTAAAAGAATAATGAAATGAGGTACTAATGTTCTTTAACAATAAGGAAGATTGTAAATCTTTGTTTTTATCATAAGTACAAAGCTTAAAAATAATTTCGCCAGACCTTCAAAATCATTTTAAATACTTTCAAATATCATTTAGCACATTGTAAACATTAATTTGAGTTTAGAATATTTAGACGAAGATCTAGAATAGAAATGAAAACATATTTATTACTTCGGAAAAGATTAAAAATCATACTGCCCAATTTAAAATTTATAATGTACTAGAAATTTTGAATTTTGAAAGTCATAGTATGATGTCAGATATTGAAGTAGTATTGAGTAGATGTAAATTTAGAGCTGTGACATTTTAAATGACGACTTTTAAAAGCTTAGGAACTTCCCATTACAGAAATTCATTGAATGTAATTTTAATAGCATATATCAAATTTAAGTAAGTGCCAAAAAGTCTGATTTAAAAATAAAAGTCTGCTTCTTGTTTTTAGTTCTTTTGATTTGGAAAATTTGTGTATTTGTCCCTACAGACTTAGATCCATAATTTTTACAACACATAAGATAGACTGATAATTTATTGTAATTATATTTATTGATTACAATTTATTGTGCTGCTTAGAGTTTTTTTTTTTAGTGCATATACAGAATACTAAGTCATAAAGAAGATAAAATGTGCTGAAATGTTTTCCATTAAGAACTGATTTCTATATGACAGTCATTATCGTCTTTGCTATAGTACTAAAGAATTCATAAACATTTTTTTAAAATGTTAATTTGTTATGTTTAAATATGAAGCTGTGACGTACAATATGTTTTAAAAATTTTTTTTATTGTGTTATATGAGATGTGCATATTTAATACATATCTATAGTATGTTTATTGATAATAATATTTTAATTCCTCATGTAGTGAATGGTTAAAGCTTGGCCGGGTTGCATGTCATTTTTCTGTATGCAAGTTAAGTTGAGTATGAACCAGTTTTCTTTTGAAAGATATTCAGAAATGCATCTATTTGAAGTGTGCAGATAATAATTGGTTGCTTTATGATT